AAAAAAAAAAAAAAAAAGAAAAATTGCCAATAGGCACATGGAAAGAGGCTCAACATCATTAGTCACTGGGGAAATGCAAATCATGACCAAAATGTGTACCACCTCACACCCACTGGGATGGCTATAATTTTTAAACAAGGACAATAATAAACGCTGAGGAAGATAAAGAGAAACTGGAACCCTCATTACACTGCTGGTAGGAAAATAAAAAGGTACAGCCTCTGTGGAAAATAGTCTGGCAGTCCCTCAAAGAGCTACACATCAAGTTACCATATGACCAGCAATTTTACTCTTAGATATATAACCAAGAGAATTGAAAGTATATGTCCAAACAGAAACTTGCACACAAATGTTCATAGCTGCATTATTCACAGCCGCCCCCAAAAACGGAAATAACCCAAAAGCCCATCCAGTGATGAAAAGATAAACAAAATGTTGTGTTATCAATGGAACATTAGCACAAAAAGGAACAAAGTAGATACATGCTTAAAACATGGATGAACCCTGAAAACATGTTAAGTGACAGATAGTCACAAAAGTCACATGTTGTACGGTCCCACTTATAGGAAATGTCTAGAAAAGGCAAATCCATAGCGAGATTAGATTAGTGTTTTGGGGGTATGTAGTATGCGGGGCAGGGAGAAATGGGAAGTGTCTGCCAACAGGTATGGGGTTTCTTTTTGGGATGATGAGTACATTCTGGACAACGTCCTCAAGGATAGCCTAGTTCACACCACTATGATGGGTAAGCATGTGTCTAAAGTAATAAGCTTTCCCATTTAGTCACACACCCAAGTGGAATCAGAGCTCCAGATTCTGCCCCCTTCTGGCCGTGGAAGGAAACTGGGACAGTGAGGATCAGCAATAAAGAATGTGATTTGCTACTCATAAAATGTGCTCTAACCTTCAGAGTCCAGACAAGAGTCACATCAGATAAGTAACTTTAATAAGGGGGCATTTGACTTAAAACTAACCCACAGGTAACAGTTTGAACTCAAGTGAACAAGGCCACAAAGCCATGATGTGTAACCCAATCAAGGCCACCTTCATGGATGTGCCATGGGTGTGATGTGCAGGGCTCCATGCTCACACTCTGCTCTGTGCTTGCTTTAATACTCTTTGGCCAGCTTGAAATTCTTATTAATTTTATCTTTAAATTTTGGGGGGGTTTTTTCATTTATTTTTTTTTAGAGAGAGTGAGAGCGAGCAAGCGAGGGGAGGAGCAGAGAGAGAGGGACAAGTAAACTCCATACTGAGTGCAGAGCCCAACATGGGGCTTGATCTCATGACCCTGAGATCACAACCTGAGCCAAAATCAAGAGTAGGACGCCTATCTGACTGAGCCACCCAGGTGCCCCTAAACTTATGTTTTATAAGTGCAGTCCAATGGGACAATGGAGCATGTGCATGAGTAGGGGAAGTAGATGCAATATGCATATGTGCCAATCCTTGCACACATTAGAAGAGAGGGCTGATGGATGCACAGTAGACGGGAGTTTGGTAAGAATCAAAATGAGTACAAGGTAAGTGTGTTCCCTTGTAACTAAGCAGAGGCATGGACAGCCCTGGAGCCCAAGAGGCCTTCCATGCAAACCAAAACTGGCTTTGAATGCACAGAGATGGCAGCCCAAGGGTCCTAGCATATCCTTTCTTACCTGGGTTACTCTGCTGTACTAGTCAACCATTTATGCTGAAATGACATAGAAAAGCTGGAAAGGTAAGGCAGCCCACAGTTCCTTTTCCTTTCAGCCCTCCCTTACTCATCAGTCAATTGAAGGTAGAGTGTTAACAGAATGAACATATAGCAAGAAGTGAAGTAACAATAGAGTCCATCTTGTATGGTGTTTCCACTGTTCTGGCAGGGACAAAATACATAGGCCTGTAGGAGCTAGGAACTGGAAATGGCATAGGATTCTGCGTAGAAGTTAAATGCTCTTATATTTGCACTTTAAACTGACATTACATAAAGTAAAAATGCACGGTAAAATCTAGGCTAATATTTTAAATTTTTAATTATTTCCTTACAATGGCATTAAACAGCAAATAAAACACCGAGGCAACAGAGACCGCAAAGGAAAGGGAGAAGCTGTGTGGTATCTTGAACAGTAAGCAAGCGACCAAGTGTCTCCTCCAGCAGGGGTTCTCGCCTTTGAGTGAACACCAGGAGCGCCTGGAGGCTTGCAGCTTGCAGCACGCAAACTGCTGTGCCCACTCTCAGAGTTTCTGATTCAGGAGGTCTGGGGAGGGGGGGCCCAGCACCCACGTTTTGTAAACTCCCAGGAGTTGTGGACGCTGCTACCCCACACTCAGAACCACCCGTCTCGATTGTGTTCACCTCAGCCTCTGACAAGCTACACGATGCCATCAAGAAAGTACCTGCTGTTACCTCGTAAATGTTCAGTTGCTCCACCAAGTCCAGGTCGGTCCCTTTTTTGTTCAAGTGCCGCTGGGACACGGCCGCAATGCCCAGTTCTTCCAGGCAGTCCACCACATCGTAGAAGCTGTCTTGGTCTGGCAATCCCGACAGAGTCTGAAGAAAGAACAGGACACGAACACGTTTTAGGGAACTGTCTCAAGGATCTCAAAGCGTTTTTTTGCAGGGTAGCCGGTGGCCAGGATTATAACTATATGGGACAAACCAAGACAGATGACCAGATCATTGGAGAAAAACTTCTTTAGTGTGGTAAGCAGAATGCACCCCAAGAGCCCACCCCTGGTATAGAGGTTGTGTATAATCCCTTCCCCTTGAGTCTAAGCAGGACACTCCCATCATTGAATTACATTACATGGGAAAGGTGAAGGGATTTTACAGATATTCAAGACCCAAATCAGCTGATTTTGAGTTAATCACAGGGAAGATTATCCTTGGTGGGCCAGAACTAATCAGGTGGGCCATTTAAAAGCAGGTTTAGGCATTTCCAGAGCTCAGAGACTAGGAGAGAGATTATCCTGCACCCAAAGAAGCAGCAAGCCACCATGAGTTCTCCAGCTGCAAGGAAATGAGCTCTGCCAACAAACACAAAAGCTTGGAAGAGGATCCCAAGCCTCAGACCAGATTCCAGTCCTCAATGACACCTTGACTACTGCTTTGTGACCTCTGAGCAGAGGACCCAGCTAGGCAGTGCCTGGAGCCTGTCCCATGGAAACTGTGTTGTTTTAAGCTGCTAAATTTGTGGTAATTTGTTACATGGCAATAGAAAACTAACATGCTCAGTGATTAGAAACTCCTGTTAGGATCAATCTACCAAACAGCTGAAGTTATAACAATGTAATGATTCTTTTTTCTTTCAATTTGGTAGGCCTTCCCCTGGGTCTATGAAATTTAGGAAAATGTGAGAAATTTCAAAGCAGCAACCAAGAGACAAAAAGATAACCCAAGGGGTGAGAAAAGCTGACTTCTCTTTGAATTCTGTGTCTCTTAAAAGAAGGTTGATCTCTCAGACAGGCCTTCTGCTCAGAACCGGAGGGACCCTCGAGGTGATTTACTGCAAGCCCTTATCTCCTGAGTTGGGAAGATGAGGCCTGGGGAGCGAAGGGGTTTGCCTGAGGGAACGAGAAGTTCCTGCAGACCTGGGGCAGAAGCCTCGCCTCTCACACACTCATGCTTTTGCACAAATTATTCTGGCCTGGAATTCCAAACACAGGTCTTTACTCCCTATTTCATTGCCTTTGTACTTCCAAAAGCCCTACATATAGATTTCAAAATTATTCTGAACTCGGAAAAGACCAACACTGTCTTAAGAACATTCACAGCACCAACTTTTCCAACGCTTCTATTTGGGGGCTATTAATAATTGGAAAGAATGTCTATTCATAACCCAAATAATGGCTTTTTCCTTTCAATGCTGAACAAAGAGGACACAACTTACTGCTATTGAGATCAGAAAGGAGTGAAAAATAACAGGGATGGGATAACTTAATTATTCAGGGGCCACCAGCAAGGACCCAGAACAGGAGGCTGTGAACCAGTCAGACTCCGTAATAAACAGGTGCTCACCCCTAAGGGGCCAAGCACAAAAGAACATGCCAGAGCCTGCAGGTGCCAGGTAAAGCAGCATCTCTACATTAGCAGACAACAGTCCCCTGAGTGGTCCCTGGCTCCTGACCGAAGCCAACAAGTATGCAGCCTTTCAAAGAATCTTATCATCAGAACAATCCATCTTCTGGTTTTAGTGAAAATCCTTGAACCTGTTAAAAGATGAGGAAAAGAAAACCGGACTCCAAAGCCAGGGCAGGGCTGGTGAATGGAGGTGCCCTGATTGGGGCCTCTGCCAAATTCTCCATTTGAGGAGCCTAGGTGAGTTGACATTTAGTGTTGGATTTAAAACTTCCTACTCAACTGTGTGGGGGCCACGATGGGCCACAGAGGGGCCTCCTCACCTCTTCTTTCCCTTCGCTTTTTCTTTCCTCTTTTCCCTGCTGAGAGTCAACTGCAGTTCTTACCGCAGTTTCCAGGGGGTTAAATTCCAGGACCTAATTCCCATTGCCTTAGCAAGCCCAACCATGATGAGCAGGGGGGAGTTTCTATTAATTAAACAATCAGGTTCAAAGAACTGAACAGACTCAGGGAGACTTGCTCAATAATAGGTCCAAAAGCGAGGGTATTAAGAGGTCATCTGTCATTTCCACCATGAAAATTTGGGCTGGAGCCAATCCCACGTACACCCCCTTCCATGTGTAGCTGCAGGGGAGATGGCCTTTGCCACCAACAAATACAGGTGCTCTTCTCCAGTTGCAGGGGAAGAGGACTCTCCATCCTAGGAACACATTCACCTATTTTCAGCTGATTCTCTAACATGCTCAGCTAATTGTGCCATGCCCCCACCACTCCCTGGGTCCTGTCCTCCCATTTCTACCCTGACACCTCACGGCTAAACTGCCTCCTCCTGACAAAGGTGGCAGCTACCGCCGAGAAGCCTGTGAGGCAAACACCTCCTGATGCCTTCACTTCCAGATGACACTCATGACCCGCCCCCCCTTCCTGCTTTCTCTCAGACCTCGTCTTGCCAGGACTGGTGACACGTCAATCTTCACAAGCATCTCTCCCAGGGAGAAATTTCTGTCCTAAAAGACATTTTCTTTCCCTCTCCTGGGTTCTCACTGATTGCATCAAATCTTTCTTATAGGATGCAACCAGTGTGGCAAATGCCTGCACACAAATTTTCAGAGCAACATTATTTGTGAAATCCAAAAGCTGTAAAAACCCATCTCCTTCAATGGGAGGATCCACTGTGGTGTAGCTATGTGACAGAATATGACGCAGCAGCAGAAAGGAACACTATTAATACCCTCAGTAACAGATCAGCCTCAAAGGCATTATGCTGAGAGAAGCCAGCCTCAAGGGGTCACCTCTATCCTGTATGGTTCTATTTGACACTGATGAAATGACAAAACTATAGTGCTAGAGAATGGTTGTCAGGGGTAGGAAGAGGGAATCAGGAGATCACTATAAATGGCTAACATGAGGGAGATTTGGGGGAAGATGGGAATGTTCTATATCCTAACTCTGAAGGTTATGCATAGCTATACAAGTTTTACAACTGACACAGCTGAGTTTTTTGTTTTGTTTTTTTTTTACAAGTTTCTGGGATGGTAATTAACAAATGAAATGTAAAAACAAAGGCGAATACTCAGCATGAATCCCATCCAGGTTACTTACCCACCTTCCCTGAAAGCTCCAAGCCAGCCTCACAATAACAGTAATACCTCTTGTGACTCATGCCCTCTCATCTGCCTCTTCCTATTCTATAAGGTGGTCAGTACCTGAGCCTCTCAAAGTGGGGGGTTCCCACTGAGGGGATTTCAGCTGGATCAAGACAGTGCATCATAGAACGTCAGCTTGCAGGATGAGAAATGGTTAGTTTCTGATGTTCCTTCAGATCTGACAACACAGGGTCAGGGGTTAGGAGCAGGAATGGGGGGGATTAGTCTGGACCCTGGAAACCCCCCATTAATGTCCCTGTTTAACAAAGAGAGCAAATGCCAGTCTCAGAACCCTAAGCAGGCTAAAATGTAGCACTCTTGTCATAAAAATGTTCATATTTCGAATTCCATGTTATTGGTCCATCTTTCATTTTGTTGAAAGAAAGCTTAGACAAGCAATATAATAATTGCCCAGATTTCAGAGTCTGAATTTTTTCCAGACCCATATTAACATTTCAATTTATTTTTTTCTTTGTTTGGAATCTCAGAAGATTTTACTCACTGGGGCAATAAACAGGCCTAACATTCACCAAAGGAAAACAAACCCAGGGTGGGTGCCAGTGGTTAATCTGACCTTTTTTGAGGAAAGGATGACATTTGGAGTAACGTCCATAGGACCTTCCTCGACTTCCCCTGAGCCAAAACTAATAAAAGATGAGACAGAACTGCCAGAAGAGAAAGAGTAAGCGAGGAATTCCTGGACATTAAATGCCATCTGATGCCAAGGAGAATGTGACACGCGCTGGGTCCTTGCCAGTGACTGGCAGCAGACTGCCCACACACACCCGCGGACGCGGCGGGGACCATCAGAACCGCCCAGCGCTGCCTCCACCAATAGGATGGGTAGCATTACAATGGAAAACCCCAGGCAAGAGGGAAAAGTCCATTTTTGCTGAAGTCCACGGTTTCCAAAACAATGTCACTGACTGAAAACGACAGGAAATAGATGACCTTAATCTTAAAAAGCAACAACAGAAAATTGCTTTAAAATTGCAAGGTAAAATCAACTCACAAAGACATCTGAAAACACAAATAGAATTCTTAGGGTTATCCTACAGAAAAGTACTGCCCATCCCTCACCAGGACTGTAGAAGAATTTCGTGGGTCCTCATCAACAGATGGCATTTCATTAAAAAGCAATCCCTGCCAATGAGACCCAGGGGGAAAATGTTTGTTGTTTTACTATATATTTCTTTTCATCTTAATAGCTTTAATGTCCTTCATGTTTCCACTGGGTTCTTAATATATTGAGGATTGTATAATTTTCTGCCCTATTGTTTGCAATTTCCCAATTTGCCACTTGCCCTTAGCATTTGTTTGTGGTTTTCATTTTACAAATAAGATCCTTTTATAGTTTTATGCAGTGAAACATTTTAAAAGTCCTTCCCTTTGGATTCTTTTTGACAGGTTTGATGAGTAACATACTCTTCACCTACCAGAGACAAATTACTCTTCACCTCTACTTCGCGTTTTTCTACTGTCTGATGTGTTACGATGAACTCTAACCTGTCTGAAATTCATTTCAGTATCTGTCAAAGGACGTCTTTGTTTATTTCCATTTAGCATACCCCCGTCCGCAATCATGAATGACGCTAAGCCATCCCTACTGACAGCAATCCTAGGGGGAGTTGTCCTGTGCGGTGAGGTCTGTCTCAGAGGTCCTCTGCCCCCATCATCTGTCTGCTGAGGAAAGAGCCAGGACCGCATTGTTTTAATCCTTAGAGTTTGCACAACCATTTAATATCTAGTAGAAATTACTTCTCATAATGCTTTGTACTAATGTGTCCCCAGTTCATCAAGGGAAATGTTTCTCTAGTTGTACTTCACGAAGAGATTCTGAAGCTTCTCTGAAGAACCACCCATCACTGCAATTGGTACTGTAGGCCTATGCCCAGCCACCTGCGGAGGAAAGGCAGGACCATGGGGTGGTTACTGTGATTCCTGAGGTCTAGGGCAGAGCCATCTGAAGGACATACCCCCCTCCAACTGCAGTTTTAAGGAGAAAGGGACTGCGGTCCCAAGAGTGGGCTGTCCCAGGGCAGCATGGGGTCAGCACCCTCTCCAGGGAAGGATCCTTAAGACGACTACTGCCCTCCAAGCTGGTGACCAGGAGGGATGGGCTGGGAGGGAGGAGAGCACAAGGGTGATATCACCTTCATAAAAGGAGGATGGGACCCGCCCCCAGCAGTCAGAATTCAATAAGCGGTGGAACAAGAGTGCCTTCATTTCTCCTGGACTGTAAGCTATTTTCTTAGGGTAAAACTTGCGGATTTATATTCTTTTTAAAAAAAATTATTTGAGAGAGAGGAAAAGAGCAAGCACACATGAGCAAGGGGAGGGCAGAGGGAGAGAGGGAGAGAAGGAGAGAAGGAGAGAGGGGGAGGGGGGGAGAGAGAGAGAGAGAGAGAGAGAGAAAGAGAATCTTAAGTAGACTTTGTGCTGAGCATGGAGCCCGACACGAGGCTCAATCCCATGACCGTGAGACCATGACCTGAGCAGAAACCAAGAGTCGGATCTTTAACCGACTGAGCCTCCCAGGAGCCGCAAAACTTGCTAAATTATATTCTTAAGGAAAAATGTTTTTAAGGGGACATCCTGATCGGAAAAGTAATCATAAAATTCTCACTGTCATCTCTCTGGTTAAGCCAGCCGAAATGTACTTCCTCACAGTTTGGGAGACGAGAAGTCTGACAGCAAAGTGTCAGCGGGGCCATGCTCTGTCTGAAGGCTCTAGAGGAGGATCCTTCTCTGCCTCATCCTACATTGGCTGTTGGCAATCCTTGGCATTCCTTGGCTAACAGATGTATCACTCCAATCTCTGCCTCAGTCTTCACACAGCTGTCTTCCTCATATACATGTGCATACATCATCTTCCCTCTCTGTGTGTCTCTTTTCCTCTTCTTCTAAGGACACCAGTCATGTGGGATTACAGCCCACCTTAATGAACTCATCTTACCTTGATTATATCTGTGAAGACCCTATTTCTAAACTAGGTCACATTCACAGATATTCATAGAGCTTAAGACTTCAACATATCTGTTAAGGGGACATAATTCAACCCTTAACGATCATCAACCAACCTTGTTCACTAAAGTCATCGCATAAACCAGCAGCTCTGTGTCGACCCCATCTTTTTCCTCCAGGATTTCCATGATATTTGACCAGGGTTTGACTCCTAGGAGTAAAGAAAAAATCATTAGAAACAACAAGTCAATGCTTCTTATCCAACTCATATCACAGTTTATCCAAAGATTTATCACCCAACGATGGCAGTGTCTTTCAGTCACCAAATTTCAAAGCATAACACTATCCTTAGGGTGGACTTCAACATGCTTCTAATTTGGCAATAATAAGCCACGTCATTCTCATCCACTTGAAAATGTATACTCTCTATTGTCAGCATGGCTACAGATTTGCTTGAAAGTTCCCTTTATATTAAATCTGTAATTTGAAAAAATCCATTCATGTGCATTTCGCTCTCTGAGCATGGAAACACTTGATAAATACTCTCTGTATGTCCACCAGCATGTTATGCTCTGATCTCCTGCAAGGAAGGGGGACGTGGGAGATCTTTACATTCGCTCAAACAGTAGACTCCAAGAAATACCAATGAAACCTCTGTTAGCAAACATTTCAAGAACAGAGGTATATTACCTCTATTCAATCCAGGCACAAATACTGTTTAAGTATCAACAGGGTACAAAGAACCGGGTTCTTGGTGAAGAGAGGGCAGGAAAACCCAGCACATTCAGGACTGCCATGCCAAGGCCAAGGTCACAAAGGGGATACAAAACCTGGACATGATTTCCTACGTTTGAGATAAACATTTGAAGTGGAAATATTGCCTCTCCCTTGGCATGGCGGAATGGACATGAAGCTCCTTCCTGCTCTCTCTATAAAGATCTCAAAGGGACAGTGCTTATTTTTGCTGATAAGAGTAAATTCCGAAATACTGTAAAATCAGTGGCTTCCAAATGCAGGTTCTTGAATGAGTTATGTCAGAGCTGATCTGCTGGCCTTGAGAACAAAGCTCCCCAAGGACCGCAGTGATCTCGTTCTTATTTCCTTGTTCTTAGCACAGTGTCTGGCACATAACAGGTCTGAATAATAAGCGGAGATCTTTGAGAGGGCATAAAGTGGGTTAAGCTGGAAGTTTTTTAAGATTTTATTCATTTATTTGAGTGAGAGAGAGAGTGTACAAGAAGGGGGAGAGGGAGAGGCAGAAGGAGACTCCCACTGAGCCAGGAGCCCGAGGTGGGGCTCGATATTAGGACCTGGAGATCATGACCGGAGCCTAAGGCAGACGCCCAACCATCTAAGCCACCCAGGTACCCAGGCTGGAGCACTTTTAAAAGAGCCAGAGGACAAATGCACACAGTAAGAGAAGGAAGGAGGTCAGGAGAATTTTAAAAAGGAACAGGGACCTACTATATGATGTTAAGAAAACACATATAGTTTAATACAGAGGTCTGCGGGCTCTCCTAGCTAGCAAACAGAAAGCCTCTCCTTGGGCAAAATTGCCCAGTTGGTCAGAACTGGGCAAGCTTCTCTAACCCTTTCTAACTCCAAACACAAACACAGGACCCTTTGCCTGCTAACTGCTGACATACCTCCTGGCTGATATTTACCATCAAACTGTTCTGAAATCCACACCTGTTCTTCAAACCCCAGCAAAGTAACTCTTTCTGCCCTCATGACAGTCAATGTGGTCAGTAGATCTTGAGTCTCACTGTCAGGTGCAGTTCGAGCACTCCAAGTACTTCTGCTGTGTTTAGGACAAGCGCAACTGGTATTATTCACACTCCGCACCCAACCTCAGCATAAAACACGGGTTCTAGTGGGTTATCCACATATGGTTACAAGGGAGACTGCAGGAGATAACGCTGAAAAGCATTTCCAACGGTGCTAATGGGCCCAGACAGCTTTCTGGTTGCATACTTTGGAGCCAAAGATGCCAAACAGGGCCCGGGGAAGGAAAGGTCAAGAAGCAAAGGTGGGTTTTCCTGAGAGAGGGAAGTGTAGCCAGACCATCTCCTCTCTCTCACAGACATACTCGTGTGCACACCATTTAATCCTTTATAATGAACACACTCAAACACTGGCTTAATTGAAAAATGTGTTCTTCAGCTGTGATAGCTGATTACCTTTTAAAGATTTCAAAGCCGGGAAACTTGCATATATTCCTGCACTGTTGAGATGAATGTTTACTCTTCTTTGATTGTTTTGGGGCCAGAAAATGTGGGAAACATTTAAAAGCAAGAAGGTGAAGGGGAGGAAACATTTTGGTGCAAAACAGCCTTGGCAGTGCTCAAGCTGGCCCATGGGAAGCACCAGCTGCTCAACTTGCCCAGGAGCTGCACCTGCTGCAACTAAATGGTCCAGGTCAACCCCACCCCCCAACCTCCGCTTGCTCCATACAGTGTGTGTGTGTGTGTGTGTGTGTGTGTGTGTGTGTGAATCCGTGTGTGTGTGTAGGGGGGTGGGTCCTGTATTAGAATCATAAACCATATGACCTGACGCCCCAAAGAACTGGAATGAACAGGGGCTCAGGAAATGCATCTACATAGGAGTGACCATGTCAACCTTGGAGAATCCCGGGAGGTGTCAGGGAGATAAAGCACTTTGTCTTTTTGCCCCAGCGCTCATGAAGTACATGAGGAGACAATAATTTCCTGAATCATGACCTTCTGTCTGTCTCCAGCTCCACCCCCAGACACTGACTCTGTGAGTAGAGCCTCCACGAGAGTCTGTTTTTCCTCTGATGTTTCAAGCACATAGTTGGCATTTAAATATTTATTGAATAAATGAGTTTTGTATGAGAAATACTTGGCACAGTGTCCGGTACGTAACAGGCACTTGAATGTCAGTAGCTGTAATTGTCATGGTGGCGAGTGGCTGTGGTGACACCCAGGCTTACCCAACCAGCTTCTACATGCTCCCAGGCAGGTCCCCTCTTCCCGCCAAACCGCAGGGCCTCTCTCTCAACCCAGAAGAAGCAAGCGCACCAGACAGGACTCAATGCGTTCTCCCTCTGACCTTCCTCCTAGGTCTCTGTGGTAACTGCTCCCCTCCAAAGAAAGATATTTAGCCCAAGGCCTCGTACACGGGGTGATCTAACACTCCATCAGAAGGGCAGCATGTTTCATGTCTTTCTACGTGACTGTCAGACGCACTTATGCATGCTTCTGCTATAGATGACCATGGAAACAGAGCTGGAGTTTCATCACCTAACTTCCACCATGCTCTGGGAGCGCTGCACAGATCACTGTATCCTCGAGCAGAAGTCAGAGATGGGATGGCTTCAAAGGATGGCTGGATTTGTCTCCCCTGTCTATCATGTGTGATCAACACGTTTAGGAATGATGTCAGAGCTCGTTACCTCACATCCCAGTGAAAATGGAACTTCTCCAAAAGCAGTGCTGACCCCAAAAGCACTTGCTGACCCAAGTGCTGGCTCAAGATTTATGACTGAAATTTCAAAATAAATTCCCCAGTTTGGTCACCCGCCCCACCCTCTCTCTGAGAGGCAGACCCATTCTGTCAGTGGGAAGGGCACCTTTCCAGGGGAGCAGAGGGTTCGGTTCTCAACCAGTTTCCTGCCAATCCCCACAGGGACAGTCTCAATGAAAGGGAGCCTCTGTTGATGGCAAGATGACAGAGCCAGGCCCTCTCACAGGTGCCTGTCCACACTCGCGGCCTTTCTCTCTTCCTGGCACACCCTGGCCACCAGGATGGGAAAGTGACCCGAAGACGCCAGGAAAGAGGTGACCGAGCGGGAGCTCAGATACTGTGCCACTCTCAGGACACTAGCGCCAGTCTACCTCTCCATTCCAGCCCCTGAGCAAACGGGCCGACCGCCTGGTTCAAAGGGGGCATATTTCATGTTACTTAATTCATAGTTACTAGTCCCTATGATGGACTTAGAGCCCTGAGCTTCTATCCCTGCTCCACTCCACCCCAGCTGGCCCACTCCTGGCAAAAGGGCAAACCATCCACACTCACGGAACGCACCCTTCTGGGAAACCCCTGTGCAGCCTGCATGGTCTTTATAAAGCAACCAGACCAATTTGTTCTGGACTTCATCCGCTGTAGGTGGTGGTCATTTTAGAGGACTCCTACCTTATTTGTTGGTTTTCTTTGCTGATTATTTAAATCTGACAATTTTCATCATCCAAAAGAATTCCTTTCTATTAAAAAAAAAACAAAACCCTGGGGCACCTGGGTGGCTCAGTCGTTAAGCGTCTGCCTTCGGCTCAGGTCATGATCCCGGGGTCCTGGGATTGAGTCCCGTATCGGGCTCCCTGCTTGGAGGGAAGCCTGCTTCTCCCTCTCCCACTCCCCCTGCTTGTATTCCCTCTCTCACTGTGTCTCTCTCTGTCAAATAAATAAATAAATAATCTTTAAAAAAAAAAAAAAAAAAAAAACCCAGTCTATACTTCAGCATGCCCATTCTCTACCCTAGCCCACAGAGGAATGGATCTGAAGCCACTTTGAGGAGTAAAATTTATGGCTTATTTATAAACTTGTACACCAACGGACATGCTCCGTTGGCCCTCAGTCACCTCTGGCACCTCTCTCTAGCCCTTCACCCAGCTGAGAGGGAAATGAAGAGCTGCTTCTAAACCAGCCAGGTGGAAACCCACCTGGGCGTCATGGTGCTCTCTGCAGAGCACCATGACATATTTAGATATTTAAATCCATCATAGGGCTCAGGAACAATTTAGCAGTAAAATAGGATGATGTTATATGTATGCATTATAAAATCACAGCCAAGACCACACATGTCCACAGAGAAACATGCTATTGAGCCACATGATAGGCTATGTCTGAGTTTTTCCATTAGTGCTGCTTTTTATTCAGCTGCCTAGCACTCAGTAGCAGACAGATGCAGTAGCTGCCAAGAAGTTAAGAAATTTTATAGGCAAAGCCATCAAGTTGAGAAAACAATCCATTAGCTACCTTTTTTTTTTTTTTTAACAAATTGGGAAAAGATGGCCATCGTTTTGTCTTGGAAGAGACACTGAAGATGGCAGAGAGCCTCTGGCTGAGCTGGTCGATGGAGTCTCAGATGTGGGTACCAAGTCCTGGGTTATCTCAGGATCACTCCTCTAACCAACCCCCCCCACCAAAAAAAAAAA